CCCGCTGCTGTTGGTGTCCATGAGCTTCAGCTCTATGTCCCACATATCCGAACACTAAGCCAGGTTGTGATGCTCAGTGCCCCGGGCCATGCTCCAATCTGGCAGCCTGTCCCCCCGAGCTTCTCGGAGTCGCGTGGGTTACACGCTCTCTGAGAATCTCTGCAGCGGGGAGGGGAAGACACAGTCTCGCTTCTCATCACAGCCTCTCAGCTTCACATGCATGTGCTCCCCCCGCCGACACGGAGCGCTTTCTCTTCTGAAGAGATTTTCTCTGACTTCCCAGGTACCCACAACTACTTGAAAGTCACATCACCGGGTTTCCACTCCGGCAGACTCAGGAGTCTAAGGCACAGTGACGCTGAAAGGCGGACATTCGCTAACACTAATGCTAGCTTATTTCCTTGGGTCTACATCTAAAGAAATATATAACATAATAGTTGAAAAAGCCCCCCCAAATTCCTTAATTTAAGAGTAGTTTGTAAATAACTCCCCCCCAAAAAAGCAAAACATGTAAAATTCCTTTTTCTTTAGTTCCAAATTGTTAAATATAATAAGGGGACTAAGTGTGATACGGGAATATTGCTTTTCTTTGACTAACTTACCGCATGCTCCAGGTGCAAATCTATGAATTTGATTTCCAAATAAATGGAGCATCTTCAGGGATGTCAGGTACTTCATCTCCTCTGGAACTTCTTCTAAAAGGTTGTTTCCCAGGTTTAGTGCTGTCAACTGTGAACATACAGAGACTTAATGGACTCACATATTGTCTACTTTCAAAGGAGCAAAAAGAAAAATAATTAGGCCCCTTTGCCGAGATCCATGTAACCTAAGAAAACTTCAACATGATCATCAACAATTATTTCACATATACCTGAAATTATCTTAAAAAATAAAGTTCATTTCTATTCATGTTAATTAAAGCACAATTTAATTTTCAATTAAAGCACTTCATTAAAATTGTATTACAAACCATTCCAAGGGTATTTAAAAATATGATTCACTTATAATTCACTTGAACGAGTCAAGCATATCCCAACATTGTGACCCATAGACTCAAAACCATTAAAAATCAGCAAAGGAGCTAATTTCCTGAAATCAGAAATATAGGCAAAGATCTGAGGTCCTCCCGTCTTACTGCTGCCAAAGGAGGCATTTCCTTCAGACCGATGGGACTTCCCTAGCACGTGTACGCAGCCAAAGGTGGCGCGAGGGCTGTAACATCGCTCTGTGCGATCACAAAACTCAGAGCGACCCCTGAGAAGGTACCTGCCCTCCAGGCACCTGTCCTGCTCATGACGGATTGGTGAGACCGAGACGTAGGAAATGGTGCACATAAGGGGGGTTAGAAAGATCCCCCTTGGCCCAGGATTGTTCCCTAAAACCTGGTATTTTTTTCTTTGATGTGAAATCAAAATGTACCTCCTGAGATAGAGTATTTTCTTTCACTCCCAAACATAATTTACCGTTCGGATTTCACTACCAGCTCCTACTCCAGGATCTTAAAGTGTAAAAGAAAAGGAATCATGGGCGTTTTGACAATAAGTTGATATAATGCAAGAAAAATTAAGAAGAAGAAAATGCAGGCAAGTTATGTTTATATGTGTCACTTGGTATTTGGTATGGAAATATGTTAATGGTTTAAATTAATATTAAGTAGACATAGATGTATTTACAGTGGAATTACCTGTCCTTAGAATTTGTGGAAAAGGTTTTGCTTCTATACACGCTTTCCTCTGAGACTTACCATTTCCTGAAAACAAAGAGCCTGATTCTTTGTAAAGGCGAAGTTAAAATATACAGATATATCTTGTTTCATTGCACTTTACAGGTGTGTTTTTTACAAACTGAAGGCCAGTTTGTAACAAAAGGATTACAACTTCCTTTTTTGCAATTTTTATTACGTGGTCTGGAACCAAACATACAATCTCGCCAGGACATGTCTATATTCTTGCAGCCATTCTTATTAAAACACACACACACACAAAAAACCTTACTCCAGAGTGTGTAGCTACGTTAGTTTCCTATTGCCAGTGTAATAAATGACCACAAACTTAGTTTTCATTGATTTCAGAGAGGAAGGGAGACGACCCACTATGTCTTCAAGGAGCTAGATCTCCACCCATCAAAGCCTATTGTTTTCTCACTTCTTTTCGATCCTTAATCCAAAAACATAACCTGTTCCTCACCTGGGTCAAGGTGTTGACCTGGGAGCACACAGTGGGGATCAGGTTATTCTGAAGGTCCAGGGTCTTCAGGCCGGGCAGTTGCCCCACCGTCGGGGGGATCTGGGTCATCTTCTTGCCGTTCAGGGTGACGATCTTGGTGTTCTTACCGCCCTTCACCGCCCTGGCAAACAGCTTCTCAGCCATGGGCGCTGGAGAGAGGGAAGGGGGGCGGTGAGCACAGGCATCGGGGTCCCCATTGTGTGTCTCAGAACCTTTCATCGCGGAACCGCCGTCGCGGAAACCAAGGGGTTCTGGGTCCGCCCTGTTGGGTGCGGGAGGCGGCCGTTTCCCGAGGACGAGGCAGGCGGGGAAGCAGCCGATGCCGGGGTCGGGGCGGGAAAGAGACGAGGTGAGCCTCGGGGGTCTTACGGCAGACCTGGCAGCTATCGAAGGCCAAGGGGATCGCATCCGAAGAACACGGACGCCAGCCTGTGAGGACCCCGAGCTGAACTCAGGAAACCTGAGCAGCAGCAGGAGCGGCCAGAGCGGCCGGTGCGCGGGCGCCTGTGGGCTCCACGGAGCCTTTACCGTCGAAGAAACTGCTGCTGATTGCATAGGGGTTCGCGGGGAGCCAGTTCGTAAGTCTGAAAATCGGTAAAGGAAAAAATGCAGCGTTTATTTTGCTTTTTCAGTACACAGTGCATTTTAGTATAACCTAATAGTTTAAAAAGTTCTTATTCACAGAATAATTGAAGGTCATAAGTGAGGAGGGAAAAACCTTTAGAAAAATCACCGTTTTAGCAAATCCCATGAAAGAACGGGGTCTATGCAATGATCGTAATTGGACGCGAGGAGTCTTAGGTGATCACCACACTGCTGTGTGTCTATGTGCTGTTTATATATAGGGTTTTCCTGGTTAATCCCTGTACTTTCGTTCCCCCAGCCCCCACACCCCTCCCCTGACAGCTGTCTGTTCCACGTACCCATGCCTGTTTCTATTTTGTTCATCAGTTTATTAGATTCCACAGACAGTGAGATCACACGGCGTTTGTTTCTCTGACTGGCTTATTTCACGTAGCACAATAATCTCCAGGTCCAAAGAGGGGTGTGGGTAGGTGGAGGTGAGCACAGAGGGGGTAAATGGGGACCGGAAGACTTTGTTACCCATTTGTCAGTTAATGGAAATTTAAATTGTTTCTACTTTTTCTCTATTTCAAATAATGCTATATGATCATTTTTCTTGAGTGTACACCTAGGGAGGAATTGCTGGGTCTTAGACAGTAACTTTGGAGGAACTGCCGATGGTTTCTCCAAGTGGCTGCGCTCCATCAGTTGACATTCCTACCAGTGGCCTATGAGACCATGTTTTCATTTCACAGTCACTTGTGATCCTAAACTGCCTTAACCCCTTTAAAAACTTTGTAAATTTATCTTAAAACAGTTGAACTTATTCTAGCAGACAAAAGCCACGCCCATAGTCTCTGCATATCCCTTTCTCCGACTAAAGAACTTTAGAAGCTCCCTCATGTTGATTAGAAGGCATCTTTCANTTCTCTGACTAAAGAACTTTAGAAGCTCCCTCATGTTGATTAGAAGGCATCTTTCATCTTCCTGAGGTCTTAACAGAGGGTTTTATAGTCATGCCCTTGGCTTCACCTCTAGACTTTTTTCCTGACAGTTCCCCGATTCGCTGTCTGTAATTCATTTCTGAGTTTAGCATCATTTACTGCCTGGAGAGGCTAGACATGAGAAAGTTTTATCTTTCAAGCTCAAAATGTGTGGCTCGTTTATAGTTTACAATTTACTCCTGCTTGCCTTTCTCTGCTCTTACCACAGGCAGCTAGCATCCAGGTAGCACCTTCAACACGTCCAGAAGCCTTTAGTTGGAGCGTCCAGTTGAGGATGTGCCTTTTATTTTTCATGTTAACGCTCCTAGCATCATTGCTAAACTTCTGGCTACCAATCTGAGTTCTAAGAGCCAGGCCTTAAATGGCTCTTATTTTACTACCTCCCTCGACCTGTTTGGGACATATTTATTCCAAATCTTTTAAATGCAAGAATATGTTATTGTATTATTCCCAATTATATGTGAGAACAATATAAAGGCTGGATAAAATTCTAAAACAAAATGAGCTTTCTCTATTTCTATAATCTAACATGTTAGCAAATAACAATTTAAGCAAATGTTTAATTCATCTTTATTTTTCTTTTGGCAAACAGATAATATGAACAAGACTATATGTAGTTATACACACTCTTTTTTGCTTTATACAAGTTATAAAGATGTTTAAGTGGGTAAAATTCTTGGCTTAACACATATATCAGAAATCCGACATACCTTTTTTTTTTTTTTAAAATATGTTTTTATTGATTTCAGAGAGAAGGGAGAGGGAGAAATAGAAACATCAATAATGAGAGTCATTGATCGGCTGCCTCCCACACGCCCCCTTCTGGGAATTGAGCCCGAAACCCAGGCCTGTGCCCTGGCCTGGAATCAAACCGTGACCTCCTGGTTCATAGGTTGATGCTCAACCACTGAGCCATGCCGGCCAGGCAATATGTTGAGTCTTTTTAAATTACACACAAATAAAAGGCTAATCTGTCATTCTCTAGAGGTTTAAATCTGATAGGGAACACCACTTTACTTTTGAATCTCATTTCTTAAAGTTTAGCAACTGATTCTCATCTGAAAAAGAAGTTTTTTTAAAAATTCTTAATCATTAAAACAAGCTTCCTAGCTGCACTTTGATGGGGTTATAAAAACGCTTCACAGCATGAATGCCACCAATACCAAGGTTTCTGCAATCAAGTCTATTTATACGCATTAATTAAGTTGGCTGTCACCATCCCCACTTTACTATAATGACAAAGAGACTGAGTCATTTGTCTTCAAGAAAAATTACATTAAAATGGTTACTGAAAGCTTTCAGTAAAACATTAAGATTTATTTCAACAGAATGTTCAGGATCCTATATTAATAAAAATATAGGCAAATAGGGTTGCATCTTGGTCTGTGAATGATGTTTTCCACAGTGGACTTACAAGTGTTTTTAAAATACCACTCAGGGGACACTGGGTTAAAGTTTATCTCTGATGTTTTTTTTAAAAAACCTGTTAGCAGCTTGCTGTAAAAATGATTTAAAGTAGTTGTGTTTTTCAGTGACGTTCAGAACAATCCAGCACTTGGTATAAATACTCATATCGGCACACAGTACTAATAAAACATAATAGTTCGACACTTTTTTTAAACTAGCCGCAGTTTTCAGTAGCTCTGTTCACCAAGCCTGCAACAGAATTGTAATGTTCTCCTAAGCCATACGCATGTCTCATATACCTGAAAGAAAAAAGGAAAGAAATGAGCAGCTCTGATGAATGTAATTCCTTGTGTATAAATGTTTACTATGCATATAACACCAAGCCCTCAGAATCAATCACTCCACAGTTTATCACTCAAATAAACTACATAAGCACATTACTTAAAAGTTCACCACCATGCGAAAAGCAAGCAGTCAGTAAGATATTTAACCATGTCTGCTGAGTCTAAGTTGTGTAAAACACAATCACTGAAGGGGGGGGGATTGAAATGCCGAGTGCTCAGTGAGCTTAAAATGTTTACCTAAATCCAAGCCATTAATGACCAGCTTAGTAGGTTTATCTAATAAAGACTGAAGCCGAGAGCAAACTCTCCACGCTGTGTTTTGGAGGAGATTTCTCAAACATGTAAAACACTTTTACAATATGAAGGAAAAAATCTCTAAGGAATTAACAATCAGGCAACATGAATATATTTCAGCTTTTTCACTTGTTGAAACCTTTTAGCATTATTAATGTCAAACCAGGACAATATTCAAACTACTACTAAAACTTTCTAACCTTTAGAAATGACTTTATTATTAACATATATGCAAAAATAAATCACTATAGGTTTAAATAATTATCTAAATCTCATATTTTGGCAATACCTTTTGATTCTGTAATTGCCTTTAACATACGTAAGCCTAATTAATGCTGCTGAAGATAGGTTTTCTCTGATTAATCAACAACCACCTAAAATATTTTAATGATCCCTTTTTCTTAATTATGAAAAATATAACAGTGGACATCCCTTAGTACTTACACGAGTATTAATGGTTTTTTGGGGTATTCCTCACCCACTACAACAGGAGGAGAGTCTGCCTGTATTACCTCTATTGGTGTTTGTAAAATATGAGACAGAGCTCTCAGCTATAGGAAAGAAAATGCATTAGTAAAAAATAAATAAAAATGTAAACATTATTGAAATCATAAACAACTGAGGCATTTGGGAAAAGGGCAGTCAGTCAGAGCAGGGGTTCTCTCTGTTCATCACTATTCACTGTGAACCTGGCACTTAATACACACACATACTAGGCACTTAATACATATTTGTTAAATTAACCAATAAATATAATATTTATTAAATTGAATGCAGAAGTGTCAAGCCCTGGCTACATGATAGCTTCTTAGAAATATCAATGTCATTGATATAGAATGAGGGTATGGGGAGACTGGGTTCATTATACTAGGCTCTCTACTTTTGAATATAACTGAAAGTTTCCATAATAAAAAGTTTTTTAAAAATCATTGTTAAGGCACCAGGCCAAATCAATTCCAATTTTGGAGGGAGAGGGGGGAAAACGGCAACAGCCCAGAATAGGTTTATCTTCCTTCAAGCTTTCAGATGATTCTAACGTACAACTAGGGTTGACAGCCACTGCTCCATGATTCCCAAGGTGCAAGCAGAATGAGCTGTGTATACGAATTGTGTTGTTTCACAGACTCTCCATCTAATTAACACACAAGTTTATGTCATTTTCTACCATAAAATATAAAATTAGAGCTTAAAGTGGATGAACAATAGTCGGGAATCTTCAAAGAGAAATTGGGATCATCTGAAAATGTCTGAAAACTACAGATGGGATTTAGGAATAATTTAACAATCCACAATCACTATGAATAATTATAAACTTACCTCAAGCTGACCTCCCCAAGCAGCTGTGTTTATAATATCATCACAGTACTTTCCAAACTCTTCTGTAGAGAATAAACAGAATATAGCACTTAATAACTTTCATAACTCCTGTTATAAAATCCCTCTCAGAGCTCCCACAATTCCTCATGAAACTACTCAAGGCACGAACTTCCTTCTCTGCCGGACTCTCCAGAATTAATCCACCTACCAGATCCAAAGTTAACTCAGTACAACTGTCCACCACCCTTTCATCCAGGAGCAAAGCATTTCTGCTTCCCTTCGTCAGCGTGAGACCCAAGGGCCTTAACTACATAACAAGCCTACTTCCCTCTCTATCCCAAGCAGTCACCCCACAAAACTGTCCACTAGTCACTATCCTGACATGTATTTTAATGCCTAAACCTGCATCTGAGAGAATATGCCAAAAGAATAAAGATGCAGCCTCTATAGTCAGCTCCACTATAAGACCTTAAGAAATCTGAAAAGAGGCTGGGCCGGTGTGGCTCAGTGTTTGAGCACTGACCTATGAACCAGGAGGTAGCCGATCAATGACTCTCTCTCATCACTGATGTTTCTATCTCTCTCTCTCCCTCTCCCTTAAATCAATAAAAACATATTAAAAATATATATATATATCTATATATATAAGAAGAGAATCAGGGTAAAAGTACAAATGCACTAAAACTCCTTTCTCAGAGAGAGCATTAAATAGTGCCTCCACTTGTCATTTTGGAAGCATTTACCTTATTTGCATTGGTATCTTATATAAAACAATGTATTTTTAACTATAAAATAACTACTTAAAATAATAAAGCAGTTAATAAAGCAACATCTGCTACTATTAAAATTACAGAAAATAATTCTACCTAAATTTTGGGAGCTTTTCCCCGTAAGGATTATACCAGTTTTTCTTATTCTCAGACTCAGGAGGCACTTTATTGAACAATGACAACAACCGCAATGGCAATACCAAGAAACAGCGAAGAAAAGGAAATTACCTGGAGTATACATGTCCCCTGTATTAGGGTTTGTTAGAAACGGCNAAATCAATAAAAACATATTAAAAAATATATATATATCTATATATATAAGAAGAGAATCAGGGTAAAAGTACAAATGCACTAAAACTCCTTTCTCAGAGAGAGCATTAAATAGTGCCTCCACTTGTCATTTTGGAAGCATTTACCTTATTTGCATTGGTATCTTATATAAAACAATGTATTTTTAACTATAAAATAACTACTTAAAATAATAAAGCAGTTAATAAAGCAACATCTGCTACTATTAAAATTACAGAAAATAATTCTACCTAAATTTTGGGAGCTTTTCCCCGTAAGGATTATACCAGTTTTTCTTATTCTCAGACTCAGGAGGCACTTTATTGAACAATGACAACAACCGCAATGGCAATACCAAGAAACAGCGAAGAAAAGGAAATTACCTGGAGTATACATGTCCCCTGTATTAGGGTTTGTTAGAAACGGCAGGAAGTCCTCCATGTGGCTTTGCATGTAGGTGGCAGTCTGACTTCTCAGGGCAGCGACCGTCAGAGGGCAGTCCTGCTCCTTCAGCTGGTCTTCGATGGCTCTGTACATACAGTGGCCATCAGACGGGATCTGTTTAATTTCCAACTGTCTGGCAGCCAGTATTTGAGCAAGTTTTTCACTTTCTACATGTCTAGCTCCATATAAGTTCTCGATTTCAGCCTCAGCTATCCTTTCTTTCTGCTCCTTTTCCAAGGCAGCTTTTTTGTCCTAAGAAGGGAGACAATGTAGGAAAGTTCGTTCATAATAATTGGGACTAATTTGCATTCACCAAGGAGACAGATATAGAAGATTCTCGAGACATCTTAGCCATTTTCCTGCCTTCTCCCACAAGCACCATCTTATCGAGCATCCCGTCACTTGTAGCATCCTCTATACCGTGAACTCTTTTAAGGGCAAACCACCCTTCTCATCTGTGTATACCCAGCACCTAGCTGCACTGGGACAAAAGCCCTCGAGTTTTTCCTTGAAAAATTTAAAACTTTTAAAAACTACATGCCAAGTTTCTAAAAAGTTCACTTACTGACTTCAATGTCCTGTCTTAAGACTGGCTTACCCTAGGCCTTAAAGCTAGCTTATCCTATTTAAGTCCAGGCCAATACCAAGCTCTGGAACTTACCACTCCACCAGCCAGGCATTAGCATGCTAAAGCCTTTAGAAGGGCACAGGAATTCTATTTATATGTATCTAGCTTTAAAAAAAAAGTGTTTAAACACAAACACAAACATTCACATAACAGATAAAAATATTCTTCTACATAAAAAATTAAATTTTACAGATAGACTAAAGTTCCCCTTTAAGGACCACTGCCAATCCCAGTGCCTGCTCTAGAGGTCTGTTGCATCTCCTTCCAGATTCTTCTCCTATGCATTTTATTTATTTGTTACTGACTGATTTTAGGGAGAGAGAGGAAGGAAGGGACAGAGAGAGAGAGAGAAACATCAGTTTGTTGTTACACTCATTTATGCGTCATTGGTTGTTTCTTGTATGTGCCCTGACCAGGGACCGAACCTGCAACCTTGGCATATCGGTAGGATGCTCCAACCAACTGAGCTACCCGGCCAGGGCCTCCTTTGCATTTTAATATAGATGTACTCACAGAAATGTGTAAAAACAAAACAAAAACCTTTTTAGCAAAAACGGTATACATTACATCCTGTAACTTGCTTTCCTTATTCAAATGTCATAAGAAATCTCCCCATAAAATATATGCAAAGATGGGGGTCCATGAGAATCTGTGATATGGAAGACGGAGCGGCGGTAGAGTGAGAAGGCTGAGGTTAAGAGAGAAACATTCCTGACAGGGGGAGGGGGGAAGATGAAAAACAGAGGCAACAGGTGTCTCACGGATGAACACGGTTCATGCAGCTGGGAGGCCCAGCTTGTACTTGTTAGCTGTTAACTACCCACCAATGTAAACTGTACTTGTTAGGTGTTAACTACCCACCAATGTAAAAGAAACACGTCTCTCTCCATTTTACTTTTTATCCAATCCCAGAGATTTCCTGCTTTACTTTCTCCTGCTTCCTTAACCTGCCACCAATGGACTTCACACAACCTTTCTTACGTCTCCTCCTTTGACTCTAACGTATAAATTACAAAACTGCTACTCCCTGGAGTATTATCTCAGTCCTTTGAGATTCTGCTTCTGGGACTAACCCCCAAACCTTGGCTCAAAATAAACTTTCTTTAGGTTTGGAATTTCTTTCATCAACACCTCTCTGAATTTTCACCATAATTAACCATTACCTAGGTACCTACACAATTCTCTGAGAATTTTGTATTCCTATATATCTTGCTTAACTTATAGGTTCAAATCCGTTTCAGCACTTACAACTATAGCTTTTAACCAAAGTGGTGCACCAGAATCACCTAGGCCCACACTGTGAAGATTCTGCATTATTAAAGTCTATATATATTTGTAACATGTATTTGTACATTTGTAAAAAATATTCTTTGCATATCCCTCTTCCTAGCTCCAACCTTCTATGAGAACTGCAGCTGAGCATGTTATTTGATATTGCCTTAGGCCTACTTTCTTCCCTCTCAAATGGAAATAAGAATCTTACTTCATAGGGTTACGGTCAGGACTAAATGAGATTTCACGTGACCTATACGCCTCACACAGTATCTGGCATGTTGCAAGTCCTTCGTGACTGTTAGTCCGGTCCTTTGACAGGAGCTCCATCTTTTTTTCCTACTCTCTTTACAACACCCACGACAGTACCGAGCACACAGCACTGACTTCAACACTTGGTGACAGGACTTTCATACCCGTCTCTTTTGTGCTCTTGATATCCGAGGCGGCTGATTCTCAAGAACCAAGTTTGAAATGTTAACAGCATCAAAATCTCTCTAAAGAAAACAGAAAGAAAGTATGAACTAGTTAATGAAAAATACTTTTAAGTTAGTATTCAAAGTTATCAGATTAATACATTATTGTGGAAATCACAAATATGTGTCACCCCACAATTCGAATTTGAGTAACAGCCACTACATAGCATAGTTCTGTCTCCTTTCTCTATTTGTAAGGGAGAATTTATCGGGTTCTCAAGAAGTTTCCTCACAGCTCTTGAAAGACAACGCTCATCCCTGCATGCTCTTCTTCCTTCTTAGCATGTCCACGCCATTAATCTAAATAATTCTTTTATGGGCCAACTCACTCAGCACTCNTCCTGCCTGCATGCTCTTCTTCCTTCTTAGCATGTCCACGCCATTAATCTAAATAATTATTTTATGGGCCAACTCACTCAGCACTCCACCCTTCCCTTCTCTAAATGCTGATAGTACTCATTGGATATACAAGGTCCTGTGCTGGCTCAGCTNAATTCTTTTATGGGCCAACTCACTCAGCACTCCACCCTTCCCTTCTCTAAATGCTGATAGTACTCATTGGATATACAAGGTCCTGTGCTGGCTCAGCTCATTACTACCTTCATCACCTCCAACGTGGCAGCAGAGGTCTTTCTCCATCAATTAACCAGAACCCGATGAGCACTGCTTCTTGACCCTAGTAACAAGCTGAGCTTGTAATACGTTAAACATAGTGTTTGGCACACAACACACGTTAGCTACATAATAAAATAACGGTACGTTAAAATGATGACAGTATGCTCCAATGTACCCAAGAAACATCAGTAAGTTTTCATTCATTTCAACTTGTTCGTAAAGCACTTTTATACCTTAAAAATGACTTCATGTTCACTGTCTCATTGGATCCATACATGACCTCAACTCAAACAGCAGAGGTATTTATATCATTGTATGCGGAGAAATTTAGGCTCAGGAAGTTTAAGTAACTTGACCCAGGTTCTAATCACATCTATTGGCAATTTGGGCACTAAAGGTATGTACTTCCAACTCTCACTTGGTGGAGCTTCCTCAAATCCACTCCATCACTGTTCATTTCTGGGCAAGTAACGAGTTCAAGTGCACTTCCTCTGCTGACCTCCCTCGCAAAAACACACCACCAGGTAAACCCAGAAACGGAAATAATGTAGGTAACGCAGGAGGGGAATGGCAGCGTGACTTCATTTCCCTCCGGAGTTACGATGTCATCTAGTCTAAGGTTTCAGAGGTGGGCGACCGCTTTCGGCCGCTGCAGGCAGAGACACACACCTGGCTCTCCTTGGACGTCAGCTTCAGTTGCTGCAGCTCCTCTCGGTGTCTCTGCTCCATCTCTGCTTCCAACTTAGAAACATCTTCAGTCAGCTGCTTCCTCCTCTTCTTGTCATTCTTGGGAACAGCATTCTTCATACCTTGAATTTTGGCTGAAAAAAATCACACCGAACACTTGAAGTCAAAAAAAGTCCAGGGGTTGAGCATCCACCTGGAACCCGGGAGCTCGTGGTTCGATTCCCGGTCGGGGCTCAGGCCCGGGCTGCGGGCTCGGTGCCCAGCAGGGGGCGCGCGGGAGGCGGCCCATCAGTGACTCTCATCCATGTTTCCCTCTCTCCCCCTCTCCCTTCCTCTCTCTGAAATCAACAAAGACATATTTATAAAAGCCCCAGGGGTGCGGAGGAATGGGAGCAGAAGGGCAGGGAGGGGGGCAGGAAGGCGGCGCGCACACGGGGCTCCC